GCATGATGTCCTTCTCCAGGGACTGGTTATTCCCTGCTGATAACATGTGCAAAGTATGTGAGATGAAGTCTTGCCATCCTTCTATGGAGCATTCTGGCTGTACTTCTTCCAAGACAAATTTGTTCATTTTTTCTGGCAGTCCATGGTATATTCAGTATTCTTCTCCAACACCATAATTCAAAGGCGTGAATTTTTCTTCGGTCTTCTTTATTCATTGCCCAGCATGAGGTGATTGAAAACATGATGGCCTGAGTCAGGCACACCTTAGTCCTTAAGTGCCATCTTTGCATTTTAACACTTTAAAGAGGTCTTTTGCCACAGATTTGTCCAATGCAATACGTCATTTGATTTCTTGACTGCTGCTTCCATGGGTGTTGATTGTGGATCCAAGTAAAATGAAATCCTTGACAACTTCAATCTTTCTTCCACTTAGCACGATGTTACTTATTGGTCCAGTTGTGAGAATTTTTGTTTCCTTTACGTTAAGGGGAGCCCTGGTGGCACGGTGGTTAAGAGCTTGGCTGCTAACCAAAAGATCAGCATTTCGAATCTACCAGCCGCTCCTTGGAAGCCCTGTGGGGCATTTCTACTCTGTCTTATAGAGTTGCTATGAATCAGAATCCACTCAACGGTAATGGATTTTTTTTGGTTTTATGTTGAGGTGTAATCCATACTGAAGGCTGTGGTCTTTGATCTTCATCAGTAAGTGCTTGAAGTCCTGTTCACTTTCAGCAAGCAAGGTTGTGTCATGTACATACTGCAGGTTGTTAGTGAGTCCTCCTCTAGTCCTGATACTGTGTTCTTCATATAGTCCAGCTTCTCTGATTACTTGCTCAGCATACAGATCAAATAATTATGGTGAAAGGATACAACCCTGATGCACACCTTTCCTGATTTTAAACCACGTGGTATACCCTTGTTCTGTTCAAACAACTGCCTTTTGGTCTATGTACAGGTTCCCCATGAGCACAATTAAGTGTTCTGTAATTCCCATTCTTCACAATGTTATCCATAATTTGTTATGATCCACACAGTCAAATGCCTTTGCATAGTTAATAAAACACAAGTAAACATCTTTCTGGTATTCGCTATTCTCAGCCAGGATCCATCTGACATCAGCAGTGATATCCCTCATTCCACATCCTCTTCTGAATCCGGCTTGAATTTCTGGCAGTTCCTTATTGATGTACTGCTGCAACGGCTTTTGACTGATCGTCAGCAGAATTTTACTTGTGTGTGATATTAATGATATTGTTTGATAATTGCCACATTCTGTTGGAGCACCTTTCTTGGGAATAGACATAAATATGGATCTCTTCTAGTTGGTTGGCCAGGTAGCTGTCTTCCAAATTTCTTGGCACAGAGTATTTCTAGTACTGCATCCATTTGTTGAAACATCTCAGTCGGTATTCCATCAATTCCTGGATCCTTGTTTTTCACCAATGCCTTCAGTGCAGCTTGGCTTTCTTCCTTCAGTACCATCAATTCCTGATCATATGCTGCCTCCTGAAATGGTTGAACATTGACCAATGCTTTTTGGTACAGTGACTGTGTATTCCTTCCATCTTCTTTTGATGCTTCCTGCATCGTTTGATATTTTCCCCATAGAATCCTTCAGTATTGCAACTCGAGGCTTGAATTTTTCTTCAGTTCTTTCAGCTTGAGAAATGCTGAGTGTGTTCCTCCCTTTTGGGTTTCTAACTCTAGGTCTTTGCACATTTCATTATAATAGTTTACTTTGTTTTCTCAAGCTGCCCTTTGAAATCTTCTGTTCAGCTCTTTTACTTCATCCTTCAGCTCTTTTACTTCATCATTTCTTCCTTTCACTTTTGCTACTTTATGTTCAAGACCAAGTTTCAGAGTCTCTTCTGACATCCATTTTACCTTAGATACTAATGAGCTTATATTAATACCTCCAGTTCAAATACAATACTACAGGGTTCTTCTGTCCTTCCCCCATTTCATATTTTGGGATTTAGATTTTGTCAAGTCCCCTTCATGGTAGTTGTATGATTTTGTAGCCTTTCCAACAGATTGTGTGTTGTGAAGCTTTTGAATTTTGCCAATCTGAAATGTTAAGAAATGGTACCTCTGAGTAGTTTCAATTTGAGTTTCTCTTATTTTGAGTGAACCCAAGCGTGTTTTTATATGTTTAAGGGGCAATTGGATGTCTTTTGTGTGTGCTCTCTTCTCAAGACTTTAACTCATTTTTCTACTTTTTTTGTCTTTTTTCCTTGATTTAAAGAATTCTCTGTTTATTGGGAGCTTACCCCCTATTATATAATGAATTCTTGAAAATTTCTTTTTTGACATTTTCTTTTTAAAAATTTGTGATATTTGTTGTAAATATTTTCTTCCAGATTGTCATTTATCTTTTGTCTTGGCTACAGTGTATGTGCGCCTATTGCTTGTTAAAATTTATGATGTTTTCACCACACACAAGGTTTTTTTATCTATTTTTATTACATCTGGATTTTTGTCATAGTTAAAAAATCTTTTTGCACACCCAGGTTTTCAATGAATTCACACTTGTTTTCTTCTAGTATTTATGGTTTCCATTTTTACAATTAGATCTCTTATCTGTTCGGAGTTTTTATGATTTAAAGTATGAGGTATGACTCCAATTTAATCTTTTCCCAAACAACTGAGTAGCCATTTGGACTTCTGTTTTGTTTCCGGACTTCCCGTTCTGTTCAACTGATAACTCTGTCTAGTTAGGATATTTTGTATAAAAGTATACTGTCTGTGTCAGCGATCAGTAATACTGTTGGAGTTGTTTAGCTCTAGGAGGTTCTCTGAACACTTGTCTTTTCTTGTGGGTGATTTCGTGTCTGTCCTCCCTTCTAGTGGTCCCAGAGGAGGGGACTGATCAAAGGGGCACAGCTCCCTGACTTTTTGGCAAATCCCAAGCACCTGCTTTTACGAGTCTTATTTTGTTGTGGTTCCTGCAGAAATATATTATGAAGTAATAACTTAAATTTAATGTGAAAATTAAACACAGTAAGCATGAAAAACACGTAACATCTTACCTAGAGCAAGCAAAGCAAAACACACATTCGCCACGTACCCATTGACTGGTCCTAACAAATGCTGTTTTTGTAAGTGAGGAAGCCAGCAGTGAAATATGCTACTGGCAGCATCTGGAAATGGACAAATCTGGGATTGGCTGCTGTTGAACCTGGCAGTGGTGATAGTGAGAAAGATAACAAATGTCTGAGAGGCAGTCAGGGTGCTGGCTCGAAACTGCACTAGGCAAGTGTCAGGAGATAAGATTGTGTGGAACAAGGGTACCAGGAGAGAAGCAGTTGCTGTTCTTTATCTCCTAGACACCTCCCCATCATCTTCTTAGGAGTCTGGACCTTCTGGGCCTTTCTTCTGTGTCTTAGTTATCTAGTGTTGCTGTAACAAATACCACAAGTGGATGGCTTTAACAAACAGAAATTTATTCTCTCACAGTCTGGTAGGCTAGAAGTCTGAATTCAGGCCACCAGCTTCAGGGGAAGGCTTTCTCTCTCTGTCTGCTCTGGAGGAAGTTCCTTGTCATCAATCTTTGCCTGGTCTAGGAGCTTCTCAGGGCAGGAACCCTGGGTCCAAAGGACGCACTCTGCTCCTGGCACTACATTCTTGGTGGCACGAGGTTCCCCTGTCTTTATGCTCACGTCTCTCTTTTATATCTTAAAAGAGATTGACTCAAGATACAACCTAATCTTGTATATTGAGTCCTGCCTCATTAACATGACTGCCTCTAATCCTGCCTTATTAACATCATACAGATAGGATTTACAACACATAGGAAAATCACATCAGATGGCAGAATGATAGACAATCACACAATACTGGGAATCATGGCCTAGCCAAGTTGACATACATTTTTGGGGGACACAATTGAATCTGTAACATTCTAGTTACTGGGGAAAAGGTAGCATAAACCTACATGTTCACAGAAAGCACTAGAAAAGCTTCCTGCGCTTCCTGATACTAGAATACTAATCATAGGCACAAAGATACGTCAGCATGTGAAATAGGCCCATTTAGTTAGCTAGGTTACTAAGCCATGCCAGGTAGAGCTATTCTTTCTGTCATTGTTATTAGTTGTAGCTGTTGGTTCTGCTCTCAGTGATTGTTCAAGGCCCAACTGAAGGCTTCCTCTGCCAGTCTTCCTGACTGTCCCAGCTTGCACGATCATGCCAGCTTTTGGGCACGTGTGACTTTTATCATGAGTTCTATTAATTTAATACTTATCCTGTACTATCTTCTTAAAAATATATGTAAAGAAGTAAATAAAGTCACCTATAATCCTCCTATCAGAGACAAATGCTATTGATATTTTACTGTATTTTCTTTCAGTCTTTTACTTTTTTTCTCCTATGTGTATGTTCTTACAGAGTTGAAATCATACTGTATATGTAATATCTTCTTTTTCCCCTTACCCTTTGTAAACGATTTGTAAATAACATTTTAAAAGTTATGTAATATTTCATAGAGTGAATGGATTATGATTCACTTGTATTTTCTTTTTCATGCACATTTTTCTCATTAATCCAATTAGATCATGAGATTATCAAGGGAAGTCACCCTACTGTGTTATCCCCCCCCCTTACTCCAATGCCTATGGAGAATACTGCACATGGTAGATGCTAAATAAATATATTTTGTTTGCTCCTTTGTTTTCAGTCTGAATATTATAGGAACTGTTTGCTATCAGAGACCCAAAAAAGTATTATTGCAGCTTATTCCGAGTCCCTGCATTACCAAGTCTTTCCATCTAGAAGAAGGGGGATCTTTACATGGATTTTAGGGAGACCATGAATCCTCTGAAATTCTATGAGAATTATTTTGCATGAGCATCTGTGCATTTTCCTGTAGTTTTCGTTAGATTCTTGAAGGAGTCCTTACCTACCAAAAAGAGCCCCTGATGCAGAGACTGTTGCCCACCCAAAGAGAGACCTACTTTTTAAACGTATTTAGAATACGAACCTTCTGTTTTTCTGGGTTTTTAGGAAGAGATGAGACCATGCAGCCTGCAAAACCATCTTTTCTTGAATACTTTGAACAAAAAGAGAAGGAAAATCAGATCAACACCTTTGGCAAGAGTGTACCTGGCCAGCTGAAAAATTCTTCAGATTGGAAGGTACCACAGGACGGAGACTATGAGTTTGTAAGTAGTGTTGGAAGTCAAGCGGTTAGAACTTCTGGGGGACGTTACTGGAAATATCACACATCCAACTCTGTCAGTTGGCTGCAAGTGCCTGGGCATTTCCTCAGGGCAGCTTCCATCTCCTCTCACCGTCTCTGGCAGCAGCTCCTGGGCTGAGGTCCTTATGAGTTTGAGAGAGCAGCATTTTGACTGACATCTGAGCAGTTCTAGGACCCCTGGTTGGTGGTATCTTTTTTTTCCCCCCTTAAAAACCCTTTATTCACTTGCCATTTTTCTTCTTGTCAAGTGTGAAATTGTTAATGGTAAAAGAAACCCATCAAAAGCTACAACTATCTTTAGTAGTTTATTTGTGATTTTGTATTTAAGAATTAGACTGGAGAGCAGTTGATGCTGTTTTGCAGTGTCTGTTGTTTTGCTAACCCCGGAGCCCTGGTGGTGCAGTAGTTTAAGCATTGGGCTGCTAACCAAGAGGTCAACAGTTCTGTGGGGTCACTATGAGTCGGAATCAACTTGATGGCAGTGGGTTTTTTTTTTTTGGTTTTTCTTCATTTTAAGCGCTCTGAGAGGATTCTGAATTTTTTATCAGAGGATGAATATTAAATTGTTCTAAAGTTTCTTATGAAAAACTAGGTGTGTTTTTCCTTTCTTTGCTGTGGAACATTCTCCCTCAACCACAGACACTTACTACTGTTCACAGGGATTTAATGAGTAGAGGCAATAAAAATTTTGGAGAAACATAAGGTAAGGAATCTACATTCCTTTTCTGAGTATTTTCAGAAAATTTCTCTTTAGGAATTTTTTTATTTTTGCATTGTTAAGTTCTGAAGTTTGCTACTCAGCTGTTACAGTTCTGTTGTTGTTTATAAAAGAGCTTAGATTGGCCATTGAGTTTAGACTCTAGGAAGCCATTCTAGTCCTGCCTTCCTGCTACCCCGCTGACTGGCCTAGGGGAAATGACATCATTTTTCCATAACTCAATTCCCATTTTTGTCAAGTGTCAGGAATGTCATAGTTTATACAACTAATGACAGAAATCTTTTCAAGACCAGAGTAACTCACTCGAGGTTGTTTAATCAATTAGTCACTAAACCCACAATAGAACCCAGGTTCATTTGTTTTGTCATCTATTCATTATTTATTCTGTATTTTTTGAGCATCAGTATGTGTGAGATACTTTTCTGGGAATAGATTAGTGAACAATACGAACAAATGCCCCTCCCTAATGGAGCTTTCATTCTAGTAGAGGGAAAATAAAGAAGTAAAATATTTAGTGTGTCAGATGTGATAAGTGCTATGGAAAATATAAATCAGGAAAGGGAGGTTGGATGGAAGGGAGACAGAGACACAGAGAGATAGCCAGAGAGGAGAGAGCTCCAGGCTGCCACTGTTGGTCAGAGTAGACCTTTGAGACTTGACTTATTGTAATTGCTCTTGCATGTTGCCTGTGTACTTCTCTTCTTATAAGAATTCCTGAGGGCCAGTTTTCTCAGTTTAGCAAGTCTTTAGGCAAAGGTATTTAAATAACTGCCAGATACCTAATCACATCATCATTGTGATAGAATTTCTAGGTCTAATTTTTTTCTTTTTTTAAAGTAGAAGTTAGCAATCCTAAAAGTCCACTCATTTTACTCCTAACCATTATTTTTGTATCGGTTGTTCCAGTGTATGAAGAATTCACTTCTCTTTGCCACAGTTTTCCCATAAAAAGATCATTGGCAGAAACCATGTATTGATGGGCAAGCTACTTCTATAGAAGGGCTTTACTAGGTATTTAGAGAGAGTGCTTTTATTTTGGAATCAGATGGCTGCTGGAGGGAGCGGGCCCTTGAACACATGGATAGGTCAGCACATAGCCAACCTGTGTTACCCCGGTCCATGCAAGAGAAAGGCCCTGAGACTTCCCTCTAACCTCTAGATCATAAGCTGGCAGCCTCCAGTCCACAGACTTTTCTGTGCGTTCTGTACGGTGTTGAAAATGTTTTATTTAGTTGCCTATGTTTAAAAATTGAGAGATTTTACGTAAAATGTTGAGTCTGTAGCTTATCCTGAAAACTGGGAAGATCTGGCCATAACAGACCTAAATTATTAAATTATGGTTGTCTGGAGCCGAGTAGCAGCTGCCCTCTGTGGGCGTGACCTCCCCAGTTCTCCACAGTATCTGGCCGGCATGCTTCTCTGTGTTAACTGGTTGAACTGTCTGGCACCTATGGGCATTTGATGTTGGGACCCTCGCAGTGTATCGTTTGTATTGGTATAAGCCCACATTGTGCCTTAGCCAACCCATCATGATGTATAAAATGTTACTTATTTTTACCTTGTGAGTTTCAAGAGAATTTATTGTCTTCTTGGAGAATTTCAAACTAACCAATGAAAGAAAATTGAGGTGGCGTGATAGATGAGCCACTACACCAAAAAGTACCAAAACACAAATGAAAACTGTTTTTAATGCCTTAACATTCTTGATCCCTCACATATCTGTCAGTTTGTCATACTGTGGGGGCTTGCGTGTTGCTGTGATGCTGGAAGCTATGCCATGGGTATTCAGATACCAGCAGGGTCACCCATGGTGGACAGGTTTCACCTGAGCTTCCAGGCTGAGACAGACTAGGAAGAAGGACCTGGCAGTCTACTTCTGAAAAGCATTAGCCAGTGAAAACCTTATGAATAGCAGTAGAAATGCTCCTTAGAAGCAAGGATGGCAAGACTACATCTCACATACTTTGAACATGTTATCAGGAGGAATCAGTCCCTGGAGAAGGACATCATGCTTAGTAGAGGGTCATCGAAAAAAGAGGAAGACCCTCAACAAGATGGATTGACACAGTGGCTGCAACAGTGGGCTCAAATATAACTACGATTGTAAGGATGATGCAGGACTGGGTAGTGTTTCATTCTGTTGAACATAAGGTCGCTGTGAGTCGGAACTGACTTGATAGCACCGAACAACAACCTTCTTGATACATAGCTCTTATCTGAATCACAAAGCAACCATTTGAATCAATAGTCTGAAAGAGTAGTTCTCAAAGTGTGGTCCCTGGACCAGCAGTGTTGGCATCCCTGGGGAACTTGTCAGAAATGCATTTTCTCAGGTCCCACCCCAGACGTACTGAATCAGAAACTCTGGGCAGGGCCCAGTAATCTGTGTTTTAACCTGCCCTCCTGTTGATTCTACCCATTAAAGTCTAAGAACCGCTAGTCTGAAAGATTTTTAGAGTGTAGTTTATCTTTATGTAAGTTTCTTCTTTCCTATTAGGTGCTATAGAAATTCAGAGATAAGGATATATTCATATTTTATTAATATCTTAGAATGTTAATAAAATAAGTGCTGTATGTATGTTAGCTCAGTCCTCACAACTGTTGCATGAGGTAGGTAATATTATTGCCATTTTTTGAATGATAAAGTGAGGCATAAAGGGGGTAAGGAACTCACTAAGGTTATAGAGATAGTTAAGTGGCAAAGCAGGGATTTGAACCAAAGCAGTTTGGCTCCAGAGCACATGCTCTTAACCACCTACATTGTATGGCCTCTCTCAAGGCTGTTCTGATAAATTCTGTTCTAAAGTACATATAAAAATGCTATAGGAACCCAGGAGAGGGAGCAAGAACCCCAGGGAAGGCACCAAGAAGCCTCATTTGAAGTGTATTTTGAAAGATGAATAGGAATTCTTGAGCCAGAATAGGAATTCTTGAGCCAGAATAGGAGAGAAAGGACACCGTAGGCAGAGGGAAGTGTGTCTCTGGAGGCATTAAGGAATGTAATAGGGTCGGGAAGTACTGCGTAATTGTGTTTGGAGGAGAGAGGGTGTGTGTGTGTGTGAGGAAAGGGAAATGGAGTGAAGGAGAGACCTTTAAGTGAAATAAAAGTAAATTAGTGCCCAGTATGCCCTTACGTTTTTGGAAATATTTAGTTCTCTTTCAGATTTTTCCTTGATGTATTGGATAAATTAAAAATAGAATCCTAATGCAGCACAAAGAGCTAGTGTCCCTCTGAAGCTGTGAGATGATGAGTCCACCAGGGTACAAAGCCACCAAAATGTTAATACAAAATTAATTTGATAAAAGTAGCAGAGCCGGAACGAGATTGATTGTTTGGACTCTCTGGGTAATTAGACGCCATTCAGCTGGCTTTTTGTGGTAGAGAAGGATAAATTTTAGCCCTGGGTTTTCCCCAGGAGAGTGACAACAGTCTGTGATCTCATGAAACTATATCTTTCCCATTTTGTCCTATGTCAGGGCTGCAAATCTGATTGTAAGTAGAGATTTCTTTGGGTTTTTATAAAGACACAGTACTGAATTATCAGGACATAGTCAATTAAATTCATTTTTTTTTTATTAGGTTGTACTTTTTGCTTTTGGCTGTATGCTTAAAAATTTGATGTTTGGTGGGAGGTGAGAATTATTACTACCTTATTTATAATTTAAAATCATGATTGATATAGTAGCAGAGATGCTTTATGTACTCGTGTTTAAATTAATGCTTTTACAGATATGTCTTGATATCTTGATGTTTTCTAGGCCCCAGAGAGATTTTGTTTATGTGAATTCAACTTATTGGTATTTACTGAATTACAAGTTGAACAGAAATTTAATTTTTTATTAATTTATTTAAAATAACAGTAATAAACCTATTTTGAAATTTTTTGAGTAATTAATTATGATTAATGTATATAAAAATTTTTATGAAAAATAACCATATTTTCCAAAACAAAAAGAATTACAAGAATGGCGTTGTTAACAGTTTTTCAAATGTCCTCAATGTCTGGCTTAATAGAAGATAGCTAGATTATCGTATCTTGTTTCTGCATTCAGTCTGTTACGTTATATTGTTTTGGTTGAAGGATATGAAGAAAAATCTGGCCTAACACAGGTATGCAGTTGGAAAATGGAGTATTTTAATAGCCTTTTCAGATAATTGTGGATATTCTTTTTTGACACTACACCGAAACTCAACAAGTGGTGGTTTCTTCAAGGTTAGTCGCAATGTGGAATCCGAAACCATTGTCAATGAACTTTTCTTATTCTACACGTTGAAATCCATTGGTCTGTCTTGCACTTTGAATGGAACTTTTACTTATATATGATTTTATAACATCATGCCTTGGTTGTTTGGAAAATACTGGTTCAGTGTTACATAGATCTTCCAAACGTTGGCACATTTCATTATACAATATAAAAAAAAATCGCATTCTTTGATATCACCATCAATTTCATCAGAAAAACCTAAGCGTTTAGGAAACTCAAGTTATGTCAAGTGGTGGAATCAAATTTTCCAAAGTTCTGATTTTTACTTGAAAGCTTGGATTTTATCATTGGCAGCAAATACCTTCAGTTGTTTTCCTTGAAGTGACAAGATTACTTTGTTCATTTTCAAGGAAATGTCATCTACTGAAGTCTGAATAACCACACTTTGTCCATCAGTCATTTTTTCAAGTAAAAATGGTGTTCTATGAAAGAAGCAGCTAGTGTAGCTTGCAGTTCAGCTGTACAAGTGCTTTTCTTCAAGACAACCATCATATTTCAGTATGTGGCAGAAGTGCTTTATGCAAACTTACTATTTCATCACAGACATGTGCTCAGGGGTTTACATTTATATAATTAATACTTTTTACTACTTCATCAAGAATATTCTTAAGGGAACTGGTTTTATTTATTTAATTTTTAACTGGAAACAGTAGTTGTGAAGAGTACAATAACTAGTACCATTTGGTGCCATTTATTTGATTTATACTAAGGTGCTAGCAGTTTTACCCACTGGTTAATTCTGTGTGTCAACTTCGCTAGGCTGTGGTGCCCAGTTAGTTGGTCATATGCTAGTTTAGATGTTGCTGTGAAGATATTTTGGATGTGATTAACATTTACAATCAACTGATTCTAAGTACATTACCCTCAGTAATGTGGATGGGCCACGTCCAATCAGTTGAAGGCTACTTATTAAGAGCAAAAACTTAGGTTTCCTAGAGATGAAGATTTCTGCCTCAAGACTCTAACATAGGTATCCTGCTAGAGTTTCTAGCCTGCTTCCTGGCCTATGGATTTTGGGCTTGCCAGCCTCCATAATCACATGAGCCAGTTCCTTAAAATCAGTCAGTCAGTCAGTCCCTCTCTCTCTCTTTATATATGTATATATATGTATACAGTGAAACCCGTGAGAGCCTGCACCCTGTCAAAGGTGGAAAACTTGCGAGACTCAGAAAAACAAGGCAATTCCATTGAGTTCCAGCTCGCACAGATTTCAGTGTAGTGACATTTTATCATTCCTTCTCTTTTACCAATTGAAATACTTCTATAAAGTAACTCTTCCCATTCACTAATTATGTAGCTACTCTCAGGTATAGTTTCTATAGGAAAGACAGGAATATACTGTTGGCTCTCTGTATCTGTGGGTTCTACATTTGTATAACGGATTCAACCAACCACGGATAAAAAATATTCAGGAAAAAAAAAGTTAGTTCCAAAAAGCAAAACCTGAATTTGTCGTGCACTGAGGAACGCTACGCTAAATCTACGCGAAAGAAGTGATGTGTAGGCATCCCCTGCTTAGCCTCCGCCCTTCGGTCTCTCTCCAGCACTCAGTGTTTGAGCATCGTTCGCCTTGAGTCTCATTCATTCGCTACTTGTGTTGTGTGCTCCCTTTGCTTCTGTGAAAAATGGCTCCTAAAAAGCAATGAAGTGGTCAAAGCAATCCCTCAAAGGCTAAGACAGCATAAAGTGCTATCTCTCGACAAGAAACAAAAATCTTAGATCTTTTGAAAAGTGGGCTGTAAGGTTGGTAAGAACAAATCGAGTATTCTCACAATAAAGCAGAAAGAAGCTGAAATTGATGGAAGTGTTAGTGCTTCCCCCACAACGGCAAAAAAACAGTCTCTCTCGTTGGTAATAAAGTGTTGCAAAGACTGAGAAAGCATTAAATGTTAAGTGTATACATTAACAACTATTTACATAGCATTTACATTGTGTCAAGTATTGTAAGTAATCTAGAGATGATTTAAAGTACCTAGGTTGTATGCAAATACTATGCCATTTTACGTAAGGGACTTGAGCATCCTCGGATTTTATCCACAGGGTCCTGGAACCAATCCCCCCGTGGATACCGAGGGATGACTATAGTTGAATTTTTCTCTTTATTTACCAGTTCTCAAAATGATGAGTTGGTTCCCTAGCATCCTTTAAAGTAACCAATAATTTTTTTTAGTATCATTATAAATTAATGGATTTAAAAATATTTGATGTTTTTCAACCCTTGTCATTTTAAATTTTTTATATTCAAATTGTCTCATCTTGATATGACCTTAGTAGTATTTTTTATCTTAAATCTGGTTTATCAAGGTATGGTTTACACACACACACACACACACACACACACACACTCTTTTTGATAGCTTCTTGCTTTCTAGTATGACAAGATGTTCCGGGCTCATCTTGTACATTTCGTGCTCCAAAGTTGGAAACAGCCATTTTTTGAGGGAACTGTGGTTCTTTTTAGTGGGAAATGGTATTTAGAGACTACAGTCTGGATATAAGCAGTGCT